TTAACGAGATGGAGAATAAAAACGTGTCGATAAATTTTACAATTATATTTTTTACTATCGACAATTTATCCGTAAAATATTTGTTTCAATGCTAAGCAAGAATGCTAATCCGTATAAACACGTGTATCGACGAGATTCGTCTTGCCCGAGAAATCTATTTGCCCGTCGACCACAAATCACCGGAGTCTTCGATCCTCGCTAATCCCTCAGACGGGCGGAAGGGTCGTCGAAGAAAGGGATTTCCGTTTCGAGACCCATCCGCCTCACCGTGAATTTCCCTCCACCTTTCGATCCTCTAACGTCGAGCTCTAACTCTTCCCGCCTAGATCGCGCCCTGGAAACTCTTGTCCCTACTTTCCAACCACCTTTCTAATTCCTTTAAGCAAATAGCAATCTCTCGATTGGCTCTGACCAATCAAATAAACTTTACCCACGTAACAAATTTTCCACTTAAACCAACTCGATGACAAACCTGTCGATTATTTTTACTAATACTTTTTTCCTCTTTGTTTATATTAAAAATTTTCTACTAGGCATCTATCAAACCAAATACTCATCTATTAAACTAATACTTTTTTCTTCTTTGTTTATATTAAAAATTTTCTACTAGTCATCTATTAAACCAAATCATCAAACTAAACATTTTACATATCGTTAATATATAAAAATAAAATATTTTTATTTTAAACCAGGATCAATTTTTAAATTTTTAAATAGAGAAAGTATGTTCAGAGACAAAGATTATAAATAATTCGATGATTATAAATACGCGTGATACAATTTCTATTATCGTAGAAATGGAGGAAATAATCTCTCAACCAATCGAACCTCGATCCCAAAAATCCTGAGTATTCTACTAGCCGCAGACGGTGTCCAAAGTGGAGATCAGTCTGGGGGGAATTCGATGGGGTCCGATCGAGCGTCGAACTCTCGAATAAGCGCGAGCAACCGATTCCTGAGGGAGCCGCGAACCAACCCGGTGACGGGCTTTAAATAAATAAAGAGGCGGAGAAGGGAGAGAAAGGCAGGGTGGCAGGACGAATGGCAGATCTAGGGGAGCAGCATCCTGGGAGCCATGCATCAAGTCTTATTACTCTTCGTAGCTTCGTAGATATACATATATATGTGTATGTAGTTTGTAACACGAGGTCGTGATGTTTCTGGAAAAATTGGTTATTTTTTTTTGAGAGAACTTTTTACAAGAGAAGTCTGCACAGACTTCGAAATAGTAGAATAATATATCGAGCTTTTTTAATAATAGCGAAAAGTTTGTCAAACTCTTGTGACGATCCAAGATAAGCAGCAGTGTACTTCAGACGAAGTTGATTCAAAATTATTTGTGACATTTTTAAATAATAATCGAGGAAGACGAGAGAGTTGAAACTCTGAGGAAATTGTACTGACAGAACACGTCACAAGGATATGTATAGCGACTCGTGAACAGTAATTCCAACGATCATCCGAAGATTGGAATTCCTATTCCTATCTCTGAGATCACCTGCAACGCCATCAATTTTCAACAGCGTTATAATCAAGCAGACAAATAATTCTGATATGGATCAACTTCATTCCAAGTTACCCACTGCTGCTTATCCCGGATTGCTTTCGCTGATAAACTCGCGAAGCATCTCCCTTATCTCGAAGCGGATGTCCTTCTTTTAAGAAAAATTCCTCTCGTCCTGTCCCCTCCCCACCATTCTTCAAACGTTACCCAAATTATTCATCAGGGAAACGAGATGTGTTATAACTTTTCGTGGCCATCCATCATCGAGGTTCGTTTTTCTTTATCGCGAAACTTGTTCGCCCTCGGTCACGGTTCACCTCTCGCCAGGAATTCGAGTGGTCGCGTGACCGGCGATAAAAATCGAGCGAGATGGCGCGACAGCTCGGTCACGTGACCATTCGACGGATGTGTGGCGCCCCCTCTTTCGCCTCTCGCGGACCGTGAAAGTCTCGCATGCGTCGGTGGTCGAAGAACGTGGACGACGAATTGAAAATTAAAATGAGTTTGATCGTTGTGTTGTTCCATCTTTGAAGGTATATTCTTAAGGTTTCTCTCGATTGTCGTGGATTTATATTTAATTCTAAAGTTTAATTTAATTTTGCACGTGAGAAAAAAAATAATACATATATAATAAATATAATAAATAATAAAAAATAATACATATATAATAATAATACATATATGTGTAAATGAATTAACAAAGGGTATTTCGTTAGTTGATAGGATAAGAGGAAGAAATATCATGTGTAATCGAGTGTTTTGACAGTGATTTGGCATTTTTGTCGTTCCGTTTCGACTTTAAAGCGCCGATCGGGCACGGCACGACATCAATCATCCTTGGTAATTTAGCGCGTGGAACAATCGACAGCTGTGACCGTAAATGGATTTACTGGCACGTATGTACGGATGACCGCAATAATGATTCGTTCAAACAGAATTATGCACGGCCGATGCCACGATAACGACGCCGCTAAACGCGGACAAATCGTTGTTACACAATTCCGCGTCGATGACTGGCATCCCCGGAAGCGACGATGTAAAATCGATCGGATTGGCCATCTTTCTTAATATTCCCGGTATTTAACGTTTTATCGTTTTCCAAATTGGATCGTGACAAATGATTTATTCTATGAATCAAATAATTTTATAAATTTTTCGAGAAATCGCGAAAAGAAGAATACCGACGAAGTAATAAATTGAAAATATATATATCTCTCTATTAATGATTACAGTTACATACACGTTTATCAACAAAAATTCCAACGTGAAATTTTTCTCCTAACCGAGTAACATTAATAAATTAAAAGGATTAACCGTTCTCGATAAGCTTTAAAAGAAAAAAGATGCAAAGAGGTTAAATTTTTTGAGAAATCGCGAAAAGAAGAATACGAAGTGATAAATTAAAAAGATATATATCTCTTTATTAAAGATGCAAATAAATTACAATTACATACACGTTTCGTATCAACAAAAATTCGAACGTGAAATTTTTCTCCTAACCGAGTAACATTAATAAATTAAAAGGATTAACCGTTCTCCGATAAGCTCTAAAAAAGAAAAGATGCAAAGAGGTTAAAAGAAAATCTCTTGCTATTAGAAGATCAGAGGAAGATCCTCTAGAAACGTGACCTCTATTCAGAATAAATTCCTTTCGAGGAGAGGTAAATCTAGCCGTCTCTCGATCTCTTAGAAAAATTAAATCGAATTTCTTTCTTCGATCAAAAAAAATTTCACCAGAATTATCGAAGAAATTCCCTAGAAACGTGAACTCGGTGTCAGAGATCAAGGATGGAATTCATCATCGCGAGTGAAAATATCCCACGGTATCTGCGATTACACAAATTATGGAGAAACACGAGAGAGGGAGAGGGTGGGTGCTTGCTCTAGGGGCGGCAGTAGTAAGTAAGTAAGTAAGTTAAATAGGATTCCTGGGGACATTTCGATCTGCCGATCTTCCGCGGATTCCCCTTTACTCGTGGCTAATCCTCGACGTATGTCGCGATTTCGCGATCTGCATACTGCTTAGCCTCAACCTTCCAGCAATTTCCCGGGGACTTAGGCTCGGTTCCCAACTGGGCTGGCGCCGCCCACGGAACGATGGGGTTTGCCCATCGTATTAAGTCGTCGCCGAGGTGGGATTAACGATCGCAGCGCCGCCACGTTCCACCTGCGTGAGATTCCAGATTTTGTTACCTTTCAGAATTTCTTGTCGAAAGTAAAATATTCTTGGCGATGGATCTCGTGTAATAAAGGATGAGTGAGTAAGGATGAGGGAGAGAGAGAGAGAGGGGGGGAGGGCGATCTTACGGAAGATTTGATACGGAAGTTAAATAGAGATTAATGGAACCCGAACGAGGATTTGTCTCATCGTGTAAGTATTACAGGAGTACGTTTAATTTTAATGCGAGAGGAATAATTTTTCTTTTTGTAATTATTTTAAAAGTTGTTGTTTTTTTTATTCTTTATTTGAAATAATCTAATGTGGTTTGTACAGGGGAGTAGACTAGTGATTTTTGAATTTTCGAGTAACTTTCGACGTTCTTCCTATTTAATAAAGAAGATTGTTTATGTAGGTAAAAGGAATTTAATTATCGTTTTTTTTTTTTTTTTTTTTTTT